ACCTCCCCTCTGCCTGTAGAATAAATCATCCCCCCCATCATCCTGATTAGGTTGTCTGTAACAGACTCCCCCCAAGATGTCAGCCTTGTTGGCCTTACCACCAATTCTGACCCACAGGAACTCAACTTTGTTGTTACTGACCTCAAGTACTACAGGGCCAAGAGCCTCTCTGACATACAGAGCCACCCCTCCACCCCTCCTACCTTGCCTATCCCTTCTGAAGAGCTTGTAACCACCCATGGCAGCACTCCAGTCATGTGAGTCATCCCACCACGTTTCTGTGATGGTGACTATGTCATACCTTTCCTGCTGCACAGTGGCCTCCAGCTCCTCGTGTTTGTACCCCACACTGTGTGTGTTACTGTACATGCACTTCAGCTGGGCTGATGATTTAGCTCCTATCTCAGGCTGCCCACCCTGAGGCTCATCTCTAGAAAGCCTGGTGTCCAGCCCTTCCCCGTCAAATCTCGTTTAAAGCCCTCCTGATCAGCCCTGCCAACTTAGGGGCTAGAGTTGAAGAAAAAAATATTTAAAAAAAATAATCAGACAGCTCATCCATAAAAATAGCTGCAGGCTTTAAGTACTATTTTGAAAGACAACCTTTGACAGTTGTGATGAGATGCTGAAGTATTTCAGTGGATCCTAATACAAGTACACCCTAGCTTCTGAAGACTAGTGCTATCACAAACACTGGGTAAAGGAAACTGTTAAAATGTATGTTAAAATGTTACTCAGTACTATGAAAGAATAATCTCTCCTTCATAAAGAAAGAACAGGCTAGTCACTGATTGCAGAACAGTCCTTGAGGTGGCAAGTTTTATGTTCTTGCATTCTGTAGCAGGTTAAAGGGAAAGATGAATCAAAGCCATTTGCTGAGACAATTTACTAGCAGAAGTCCATTAGACGATGAGCCACTGGTGTAATCTTCTACAAAGTTTATCAGCTCCATTTTGGAATGGTTTTAGGGCATTGCAGACACAACCTGACTCCTATGCATCTGTAACAGAGGTTACAGACAGTCTGACATTTTTGTTTTGTAAAACTCTTACATATTAGCTGATGGCTTAATCTATCATACTTTGACATGATTAAGACTCCTGAATGGATCATGAGCTGATTTTCACTCAGAAGCCCTGATGTTCTCTGGGATCAGCAACTAGGCTGAAATGCTGCCTGAACTACCTCTACTATCCAGCTTATTTTCCTTCAGAATTAACCCCCGTTCATCAGAAGTGCTAGCCATCCATCAGTCTCAAAGTCAGTATGCACTGTCTCCAAGGCAAGAGTTCTCAATTAGAGGAGATTCCCAAGAACACATTAGATGTGCCTAGTACAACCTCATGACTATCATTATTAGGTCTGTCCTTTATAATTGTTTTTTCCTACTTTGTACTAATTTCTTGGCATATAGCTTAGTTTAGTTTCTATTTGGGTGGAAAAGAAAGGTAACACACATCTGAAGACTGGTACATGAGTATTGTACTTAGGGTATTTCTCTGTTTTTGTGAATTAAGGAAGTTCTTGTACTGATGGACAGTAAATAATACTGAGGGCAGTAAATAATACAATCAGTGATGGATGGTAGAAAAATTAAAACTTCTTGCAAAGACTATAGTGCCTTATGTTCATTCACTTCAGTGAGGCTGATACTGATTCTTTTGTGCGACAAGTGTTCTGCAACCATAAAAAAAAGCATCCCTTATACAAGCTGAAAAATAATCAAGATGCTGTAGGATCCTGCTTGCTTATTATTTATTGATATAATGAGCATCTCTGCTGTATATATGGTGAATTCAAGAACCACCTTAAATAAACTGGAGATGAGAAGAGGGTGTGAAAAAATAAATCCCCATCTTACTAATGGATAAGAGAAAAACCTCAGGGATCAGTTACTTATTTCCTCTTAAAAGTAGGCTCTTCTAAGGTACAAAAGTTCTTATTCTAATATAACCAGGTGAGAACCTGTTCAACTTAAACATTCAATGAAGCAAAATGACTCTGCTGCTAAAGCAAACAATCTTCAAAGAATTAAAGGGTAGTAAGTATAAGTCACTACCCATAATGTAAAGAGAAGCAAGACCTAAAAAATCCTACACTGCTGTCAACGAAGGCAAACAAGTGATGGTTGGGCATAAAGTGCCAAGGGCATAAAGCACAATTCTAACTGCATAAATACAGATGTATCTTATCTCATATACCCATGCACAAACACACCAAAAATGAGTTTCTATGATCAGCAATACTTTTGCATTTATTCTGATTGTTATTTTCGAAGTCAAGTATGTTATCAAAATATCTTTTCAAATCATGACAAAACGCTCAGTGAGCAGTCAAAGTAACTACATATAAAGATAAGTTAAAGGTTTAATAGAGGATTCAGTTACTGTAAAGGAGTGTGCTTGGACTGCCACTTCCCTACCTTTGTAGGTCACCTTTAGCCATTAATTTATGAATTAAATACTGTTTTGTAATATACCCTTCTCTTCATATATAAAACTGTGTCAATTAATGAAAAAAAATATTTTTACACCCCAAAAGCCAAACAGAAGTACTATGAAATCCAGTATCACACTGTTCCCCCTCCTGAAAAGCTCAAAGCTCTACAGTTAATAAAGATGCTTAGATAATAAAATGCGCAATTATATTTTAAAAATTGTATTAAACTCTCTCAATGTTCCAAACTGTTTACCTTTTAACTTCAACCCAAACAAAAGTACTCCCATCCTTTTTAATGGATTACAATACTCACCTCACATTTTACCTAGAGTTTTGTTTATTCAGAACTTGCTACCACGTACAAGTATCATGTGTTTTTAAAATCATGCATCATGTATCATGTGTTTTTAAAATCATGCATCATGTATTTTTAAAAAAAGCATGCATTTTAAAAAATAGTTGTGCATACCTATTGTATCAGCTTTACTGAATCTTCGTGTGACAACATTGTTCATATTTCCATTTTCACAAAGCTTTAATTCTGTTAGATACACTTCTACTTTGCAGTGCTTTACAAACATACCCTGTTCAACGACCTGAAAAACAGAATGGGATCAGGTATCAATCTGATTATGTTTTCATATATGCATGCTTCAAAATAATTTTGATAACCCTTCCAGAAACTGAAGTTCAGCAAATATAAGAGTAAATGCCAAAAATTAAAACTCTCCTGTAACCTTTTAGAAATACAGCAAATTAGAAATCTTTTCTCATGATGATGATTACCTTACCTGAGTATAATAACACCACAATGACTTTCAAAGTGTTAAGCACAGCAGAAATCACAAATGTGCATACTTAAAGCAAAGATAAGATACTTGATCAAAAGATAAAAACCACCAAAAGTTATTTATATTTCAAAATACATTAATTGTGCACTACCTCCTCAGGCCATGAAGAACTAGTTTTCACAGCTAAAGAACACTTAGAGAAAATAGAATGCACAGTGATAAAATCTGGATATCACATTTTAACATCTACAAATCTTCCACTTACATTCCCATAATGAATACATTCATTTGAGATTTTACATACTCATTACAGTTTATTACATGTTCATTTTTCTAACACCTCTTATATAATAGTTAAGTACACAGGATTATTTTTTTTTTAAATAAAATAAAATGTAGAAGTACATTCCCATAATGAATACATTCATTTAAAATTTTACATACTCATTACAGTTTCTTATATGTCCATTTTTCTAACACCTCTTACAAAATAGTTAAGTACAAGGGATTATTTTTTTTTAAAATAAAATAAAATGTAGAAAAAGATATTCAGGGTCACCTCATAAATGCTTTTCCCTTTGATCTTCCAAAGTGTAACTGGGGTACACTTAGTCATGTAGACTGTTCCAAAAATAACCATTGGCCTGATATGTGATACATCTGACAAATACAGTTAAAAAAAAGCCACCAGCTAATTGCTAGGAGAGATCTGCTATCTTCTGTACAAATATAACTTGTATGCATGTGCCATGGGAAAAAAATGGAGAAATTAGTGAATTATTTCATTGCTTGTCTTAGTTTTAATGACTGTCAACCGTGACATTTAAATACTAAAGCATCTTAATTTGGTCAGCTTAGTAGGGTTTTCAACTACTAGAGTAACAACAAAATAGTTGCAGCAAACAAAACTGTTCAGTATGGCTAAGAGATTTCTGAGAATAAAACCTGACACTGTAGTGACAGCATCACCACATTCTATGATAAAAAATCATAACATTATTTGATGTAGATCAAGTACAATCTTTTATCACTTTAAAATTTGGATCCACATTTCTAAAATAGTTGAAGTACCACAGGGGATGAATGAAATGTTAATAAAAAAAAAGTTAAGGCACACAGGAAAAAAGGATTATGAATGACAAAAGTATAAGAAAGAAAAATGTTGAACAGAATATGCTTCTCAGAGGATAACTGATGTTCATATTGGCAGAAAACAGTGAACCATGCCAGTTTACCTGGCCACTCATTATACTCCATGTATTTTTCCAGTCAGTTCCTTCCAAATAGAAGGGAAGTTACTCTTATTTCACTTCTCTCTCCTTCCATTTTCCCCCCAAGGTGAAAAAATTACATAACTTTTATGTTACCATGATCATGGAAGAGTGAATTGTTCAATTTGCTGAAATCCATCTTCAGGAAAAACAGTAACAAGTTGATAACATATATCTTTAAAGAAGGAGAGTTATTTTAAATGGATTTCAGCTCTTACAGAACTAGATAAAAAGACAGAGACAATCCAGGGATGTCTCTTTTCAAAAAAAAAAAGGACTATTTTATACAGAGACAATCCAGGGATGTCTCTTTTTTTTTTTAAAAAAAGGACTATTTTACTAAAGAAAATGTTAAAAAAATCCCCAACAAATTACTTCTATTGCTGACCAAATGAGCCTTGAAGACAAAAAATTTCTTCTACAGCCATATCTGGCAGTTGTGTGAAAAGAGTGGACTTAAAGTGAGCAGCCACTGTGCATGCAGTTAGAACATACATGTCACAGGAAGGAAAAAACAGCTGTATCACACCAACAGTCATAAAACTAAATTCTAATCCTAATATTCTTTCAACAGTTTTGCAGAAATTAAAATAAAGATCCATGTAACTGAAAGAATACACCTTAATGATCAATACAGTAATGCAAACATACCAAGATGCATTTAAAAATTTAAGCAAATTCAGTCCAGGGAGGAAGGAACTGAAACCACTAACCTGAAAATCTTAAGAAATAGTACAAACAAAAAAAGACTATGATCAATAAACTGGGAAAATGTACTAATACTGTAATAATAAGGGTGGAGCAAACAAAAAATTTAAAGATGTTAATTTTCAGGTGTCTCATATTGATGTAGGGCCACAATATCTACCATACCACGGACTCTTACTTGTGTTGAGGTAAGCTTCTTGCTTAAAGAAAAAACTACCTTAGCAAGCTGTTGAGCACAGAAGACTGTTTATCAGAAAAGAAACTACCAATTTCTCTGCCAATTACTCTGTGAGTGTTAACATTATTAGAGATAGGCTTTTCTCTAATACAGTCAATACAGTTTTTAGAGTTCTTACAATACTAGAGGGCTGACTTCCAGGAAAACAAAGTATTATATTCTTTGCACACCCATTTCTCAATATTAAAAACTTAAGTCTCTAAAATCTGAATAAAAATTAGATATCAATAAGCAGCTAAAGCAGGAGTTGTCTATATGGTTATCATAGGCCAGGACTTGTAATCCTCTAATAAATTAGTACAGCTCTCGTTTCAAGGGTTGCTTGTGGTAGTAACTGTATGCCCTTTTGGGTGCTTTCTTGAGGACAAACCTTCTGGCAAGTCCAACAAGCAAGTTCCACAGCATGGAACATGGAACTGTTGGAGAAAGTCCAGATGAGGCCACAAAGTTGATAAGAGGATTTGAGCACCTCCTCTATGAAGACAAACTGAGAAAGTTGGGGCTGTTCAGCCTGGAGAAGGTTATGTGGAAACCTCATAGCAGCCTTACAGTATCTGAAGGGGCTACAAGGGAGCTGGAGAGGGACTCTCTGTCAGCAACTGTAGTGACAGAACAAGGAGTAACAGGTACAAGTTGAAATAGGGGAAATTCAGATTAGATATTAGAACGAAATACTTTACTGTGAGGGTGGTGAAACACTGAAACAGATTGCCCAGAGAGGCTGTGGCTGCCCCAACCCTGGCAGTGTTCACAGCCAGGCTGGATAAAGCCTTGAGCAACCTGCTCTGGTGGGAGGTGTACCTGGCCATGGCAGAAGGGGTTGGGATTAGATGATCTTTAAGATCCATTCCAACCCCTTAACATTCTACAATACTATGATTTCTGTGCAACTCCTGTATATTTGCAGGAGTATATCTGAATCATATACATCCCAGCAGGTAATCCATGAGTACCTTGCGTGCTATTGGCTCTTGACCTTCCATCAGTGTGTACCAGCTAACTAGCCTATTCCAGCCTTCAGTTGGCAAAAGGATGTAGTCCAACTCATCAATGAGATGTTCCTTGAGAGACTGGGAATCACCATCTGTAAGAGAAAGATATTTTTACTTGAATACTGTAATTCTGTACTGGAGTTTTTAATGCAACATTTTTCATAGAATCAGCAAACAAAATACTTTCTGAGTCATGGTTATGCTACGAGTATTATGGTGATCAAACAGAAAGTCCTCTGAAACAATTTAGGGAAGCTACCCAGTTCAAGCATAGCACACCTATAGACAGTATTCCTAAACTCAGAAAAACCAGTGACAATTTCATAACCTCATGTGATCATACGCACCTAACTTGTCATCACACACCATCCAAACCTTCTGAAAAAACAATTCGTTTCTCTCACCCACTTCACACACATTCCCATATCATCACAGATACTTCCACAACTGAAATTGCAGGAATGAGTATTTACTGTAGATCCAAGACAAGGTTTGAAGTCATTCACCTGATGTCAGACTAGGAAAGATCAGTACAACCCTCCTACTGTGCTCTGGAAACACAAATTCTTCACAGACAGTGAGATGCAGCAGTTGAAAGCAGCACAACCTGGGAACCTCTTTACATTAAGCAGCATGCTTTTAGCTTTGGTTCAGTCTTTAGTACAGTAGCAAGATAGCAGTGACCTTATATGTGTGAGAGGCGATTCCAGCGCAGCATGCGCTTTGGTTCAGTCTTTAGTACAGTAGTAAGATAGCAGTGACCTTACATGTGCGAGAGGCGATTCCACGTGTGAGGCACTGTGAGCCTCAGACAATTAGGGCAGTGACTTTCCATACTGAAGTACCCAACTATGTCAGCAAACATCCCATTAAAACTGGGAGCACAGTGTGGGAAGAAATCCACAAGCACATCTTCAGATGCTTTGGTTCAGTCTTTAGTACAGTAGTAAGATAGCAGTGACCTTACATGTGCGAGAGGCGATTCCACGTGTGAGGCACTGTGAGCCTCAGACAATTAGGGCAGTGACTTTCCATACTGAAGTACCCAACTATGTCAGCAAACATCCCATTAAAACTGGGAGCACAGTGTGGGAAGAAATCCACAAGCACATCTTCAGATCCATTTATGTCTTTAAAAGATTCATATGTATTTCTGCAGTGATCTGATATAGTGAGAAGGTATGCTTTGGATTCCACTCTGTCCTTCTAAAACCCCCAAACATTTCTTCTAGTATAATTTTTTTCAGAACCATCAAACAACTACCCTGATCATACGCAACACTGTTCTCTATGATGAACAATCAGCTACTCTAAATAACTACTTCCTTGTGCCTGTTTTGACTGTGCTTCTCCTCTTTTGAAGATGGCACATGTGCATTCCAACTCATTCAACAACTTATCTTGCACATGTTGAGATTAACTGAAATCTCTACTTGTTACTTTTCATCGCTTTCACTTCATCCAAAAGTTCTGGAAACAAGGGAGAAGCATTTAAATATTATAAGCACAACATACTGCCTCAGTTTCCTGCAATTAGTTTTTCTTGAATTTAATTATAGCTTTCCTTATCACTGCATTACACTGCAGAATATCTGAGAAAGCATACCCATTTTAGATTATTTTATTCTTTAAATCAGATGCACATTTTCAGATTTAACACTTGAGAGCAGTATGAGAGCAATTATGTGCCAAAGACAGGATTCAGGTTCAATTTATGCTACACAGAAAACCTTGAGGATTGCTGCTTTGCACTGGGTGAAGGAGCACTAATGACCTTAAATTTTAAACTTACTTTCACACAGGAACAGCAGATGTTGTACAGTAATTGGATGCATAGCATCACTGTCAATGCATAGCCATAGTTTAGAACCATGAATGAGCAAAAAGTGCAGTTTGTAAATCCCAGTGCTGTTTATTTTGACAGGGGCATTGGCAGTGTCAGACCAACAGAATAGAGTTTTTCAGGAGCATTAAAAAAACTGGCTAGCACAATGTCATATTTGGACAGCTAACCCTAATGTAGGCTTCTTACCCAGTAACTTTAAACCTAATCCAAACATGTATGTAGATTAAGTTACAAAAAATACAAATCAACTAACATAGCGCTTTGCACAAAGAGAACTCACCTTTTCTTTAAAGGGGAGACACAGAACAGGGAACAAGCTGATGCTAGCTCACTGAGAATAAAAAGATGTTGTTACATCTAATTTCAGCTGGTAAGTATCACCTGCCTCACTGCAAGATTTACTGCAAGAATGTACAAAAAGGTCTAGATCCTCACATTTCAGAAAACAAAACACAACACTCACCTGGAGCAAAAAGCCCTTAAAGTTTGTGGATGGAAGTGAACATAAAGCTGCAATACAGCACATTCTACAAAGGCACTGATACTAGTCACTGTCAAACATACACACACACTCACACTGACAACTAGTGCAACATAACCCATGAAAGAGGCAACCATCTTTAACATTTAACTTGTAAAATGCTGAGATATAAATTACAGATGAGAAGTTTTGAATGAACAAAGCCAGACTTCATCAAAAAACCCATGAATCTGTATTACTATCTGCCAAGAAATTATGCAGTATTATTACATAACCTGTAACTGCAAGGAAGAAAACCAATTACCTGCTGGATTTTGTATCCACTAAATTTTGCAGATTAAATATTAACAGCTCTAATGGTATTTCAATACTGGGCATTAAATGTAGAAATTCAGCTGAAGATTAAAACATGGGAAAGCATTCTGGACCTGTGTCCACAAATCTGGCTACAGCTGAGCCAAAGTCAGCCAGACCTGAGTAATTTTAACAGTGACAGCATTTAACAATGCTTAGAAGACCATAAAAAAGTAGAAATTATTCATCATTTCATAGCATTTTGTCACTGAACTGCATAATACTACTTTTTCAATACTTCTTCAGTTGTTCCAGAATCAAAGCTTTGGACTCATTTACAAAAAGAAATACTAGAATTCAACTTAAAAAATTTATTTTAAATCAGCCAATTTGGTTAGACTACCAAAAAAAAAAAAATCTCAGTGAACTCAAGCTAGCTATTTGTCAACTTGGCTAAATATTAATTCCCAAGATAACCCAAAATCTCATTACAAACCAGGAATTTGTACATTATTAAATATTCTGTTACCATTGTAAGGAAGTTCCAGTAATTTTATTTATAAAATTGTGTTTTATGAGGGAAATCTATTCCAGTTCCCTTGTCATGGTCTGAAAACAAATATTTTTACCTTCATATATGCTGAGTTTCACTTAATACTATCAACTACAAAAGATGAACAATCTGTGAAAATTTGCACTTAATGTTAGTATCAGCTTACTATACAACCAGAAACAGTTACCTTTGAGAAGTCCAGAATTATCAATAGGACCAGGGTACACATTCTGATCTCCCATCTGGTATTTGTCCCAGCTGTCAAAACCAACATATTTTTTCCACTGTTTGAACCAGCGACTATCCACTAGATACCTTAAATGGAAGAAGACAAATGTGTTAATTATTGGCATGCTACTACTCCCTACATCACCAATTAATTCATGACAATGCACCGGTATTCATCAGCCTTGCAAAAGAGAGAAAGGTTTTCTGTCTGTTCTGCTAATTATTATCAGCATCTCTGAACAGCAAGGATTTCACCAGAGGGCAGTTAAAGATGCCACTAATCACAGCATGCAAGCACAGCTTTGCAAGACTGCCAATACAACATACCAGAGGATGAAAAATGGCAAGTTCAAAAAACACTTCCCTGTTTAGTACGAACGATCATCACCTTTAACTTCTGTTCTCGATTTGCAAATTCAGGAGATTCAAGTTAAATCTTTTTACTTAGCCCTTTAAGAAAATGAGAGATAACCTATAGCAACATGTTTCCTGTTTGAGTTCTATTTATAACATCCATATATAAATGGAAAAACTTCAGAACTCTGATGTCCTGTCAAGAACCAGAGTGTGTTTTCTTCCTCTGAGTCCACATCAACACATACAGTAAATGCTCTGCTTTAGAGGCAGGACTAGATGTTCCTCCTACAAGTAATTATCAACTTCACACTTCCATATAATGTGATTATACCTCTAAACTCAGCTCCACAATATTTCTATCCACATTAAACTGCTGCCAGTCTGGCTTTTACAAAGTCCAGTGATACCTACATTTTGTATCTTTTTGTGATGCCCATATTACGATTATTTTAAAGACACTATCTTCATTATTTCTCCTTCCTAAAGGTATTCATCTCCTTCTGCCCTGCCTGTCCCAAACCTTTTGCTACTACCTTAGGATGAAACGCTAGGTCAAACTAAAAATCATAGATAATCCTTCAGTATTTCTGAAGGATTGCTTAAGTAGGGTTAGAAAACTGCTGATTAGGTTTAAAACACATTAGTAGGGCTTAAATTTGTGCTTCTTAATTATATAACTACAGTAAGAATTAACAAACCTACGATACTCAAGTCTTGCCTTATTTCTTCTACTCAAATGCAGTTTTACTATCTTACACACACACATCAAGCCTGGGGTCAGCCTCCAGAAAGAATCTAGCAAACCTTTGGTAAAGAAGAAATTACTTATCACTCAGTAAGCAGGAGGCTTTGTAGTCAATTTGTCAGTTTCCCTTCTCCATAAATCCCAGTTTTTCAGGTTTTACAGAATGTACTCTCTAGTGTGTGAATCTATAGGTAAAAGTCCTTTGGAAAAAAGCATTAGAAAGCTATACATGAGATCACCACAGGCT